AGACGGGAAAGGACCGTATGCTTTGTCAACACTCACCAGTCGCCCTGGTGGGAGTCAACTGATCCGTGAGGAACTAGGCTTCATAGATTACGGGGGCGCACGGCCTAAGCTTCCCCCGAAGGTCGTCCAAGATCTGCAAGCAGCCAGGGCCGAACTCAGCGGTGAAGGTGATATACCCCAACGTGCTAAAGAAACGTCGGACAGCGTCGAAAAACTGTCGAGCGTGTACTGGAACAAGCCTTTGCTGGGTCTCGAATTTCCCCTGAGGGAACTGTACGGCCTAGAGGAAGCCTTGAAACGTGTACGCGGAGAACTCGTGAACAACATGGGGAAACTGAACGAAACCAACGCGCACATCGCGATCTCGAGAAAAGAAAACTCACCGAAACGGACGACGAGGATATGAAGCGCCGTATCGAGGAACTATTGAGCAACTTGCAAGATGAGAGGCGGGCTTCGGTTGGAATCCGCTTCCTCGAACCGTGAACACCTTCGATCCCAGATCAGTTGCGTGCGGGAACCATCGATCGAATCCTAAATGAAGACACCACGTTGGCCAACAGGATCCGAATCCTCTTCCGAGAGCAAGGGATTACTATCGCCAGCATTCTGACTGCATTGGGCTTCATCATATCGACCCCTGAGTGGGGGTACTCCACACCCCAACACCCGTGGCTCTATCATTGTTGTAACCCACCACTTTTTTACTGGTTGTTTACTCGTCCCATGCTTTGTCCTGTGGGATCTGGAGCTGATCTCTTTGAGGATGCGCCTGACCTGGTAGTACACGTGAAACTTGAACACAGACTGACTCAGAGGCCCCCACCAAGTGTCGGTTAATGCCAAGCCACACCCCGTTGTAGCGCACCACACAGCGAAGTTGAGTTGATTCTGCCAGAACTGCATCGGGTTGTTGAACCAAGCGTGGACTACCTTAACGTTAGTCACCGAAAACCTATACCTTGCACATACATCTATAAACTGAGGTGCCAGAAATACAACCCATCAGCCTATACCACGATCTTCTGGTAAATGCGCAGGAAATCTATATCCAGTTTAGGGTAAAACACTCCCGGAGGGTAAAACACTCCTGTGGAGGATTCTCCTGGCTTGTACATTTTTAAAGTATTATATAATGAGTATATATACTCTAACATGTACGTAACACTTCTAGGAATAACGAGCGGCGAGTCCATTCAGTTGAAACACGCAATCGGTAACACGTCGGGCCAACTCGAAGTCGCACTCTGCGATATCACCTACCTACCGCGATGGACTAACATCAACGTCAACAACAACAAGCTGTTCGTCAGTGGCGCCCGCAACCAGATAACTGACGGCTACGACAGCGTGTGCTCGCTAAGCGACGAGGTCTTCAAACCCTTGGGAGCCGAACTCAAGATGAACGACTCAAACGGCACAGTGGCGTTAATCAACAACGGAATAAACCCCTTGAGGCTCGGCCGACCATTGGCGAGGACACTCGGGATGTCGCCGGACGAGATAAAACCCACAACTACCGTCACAGGCACGAAGTTACCCTACCTAGTACCGTACCGAGAGCTGTGCATTCATCTCGGCCAGTTGAGCACTACGTGTTCACGGAGAACAAAGACAACTACCTAAACAAAGTCGTGAACAACCGATCCCTGCTCGTGGCTTACGTCCCGGCGCAGAGACGTAGCGTAATCATCAGCCCAGTCTCGAGTGCTACAGCCCACATGCTATCGAGTAAACCGGGAGTGCAAGACGGGGGCATTGCAGTTGGTGTCTGAATTCGCTGGCGTGGTCAACATCCTGGCGAGCCTACCGGTGAACTCCACGCTGGTCATCAAAGTATACCTAGGGGTACCATCGCCGGATGAAGTCGAAATCGTGAAGGGGAACAAACTCCGGTGGGTGAAACGGCACCAGTATCAGGTTTGCACTGTGTACGTGCGGGTGGGTGTCGACTCCCACACCAGTCTGCAGGGGGTCACTGTGACCGTGGAAGACACGATATCACTCACCAAGATCTTCCTACCCGACAACATACACTTCATGGGGGTGAAGTGCACCCCTGAGAAATTATCAGAAAAACAATTGGAAACTATCTCGTAATAGTATTATAGCAATGTCCAATCGGCATCGGCCCAACGCCACATTTAACGATCTCGGAGACACGGAGGGATTCGATCTGCCCGGCGAAAAAGACGCCTCGTACGTCCTGCACTTAAGAAACGACATGTACGTGCGGCGGCGTCTGCCAGACCGCTTTATAGAACCCAAATGGTTGCTCAACATGACCCTCACCGAACTTTATATCTCGTTTGACAAAGATAGGTATGTCTCCGAAATTAGGAACAACGGTATCTTGTTCGGGGCTTTCGTTCCGAAGTATAGTATAAGTACTCAACTAAACCCGTATCACACGGGTAACATGTTAGTTGCTTCAGGCTTGGAGGACGAGTTAAGGTTTGACGTCCCCAATTCCCAATTGGACCTTATGAAGGTGAAACCAGGCTCCACACTCGCCATAGAAGTCTCCTTTTGGGGGAGTGATCCTGTAGAACGGCAACTTTTACCCGGGGTGATAATACACTATAGCGACCTAGCCCTGGGTGAACGTTGCCGTATCGTCATACAACCGGACCCCTCAACGGGTTCTATAGTCCCCTCAGTAAGCCTCGATGATGTTCGTGTGGACGCAAAGTTACCTATTTACCTCTCCCCTATTTCCCTGTACGAGGGTGTAAGACTTGTAAGCTTCAAATACACTGTGTAAAAAGTAAATTACGCACATTTTAAAGATATTTTTTAGAATATATTATATGCGCAGTATGGGCCTGTACCCAGTCGTAGAGGAAGTCGCGAAGACCCTGGAAACCGTAGACGGGTTCCGTTTGAGGCACTTATGTGATGTAAAACGCCAACTAGAACAAGACCGCGACACGCGGAAGGCACTATATAAGAAGTACCATAGAGCTTTCAATATCGTGGATGGAGCTGATACTGCCCTTACGACAACCAGCATGGGACTAGGTGCGGCAGGTGTTGGGTTGTTAGCCACCATCGTGGCCGCACCTATAGTGCTAGGCATTGAAATAACAGCTGGGGTGGTAGGGGTGGCAGGGTTTGGTGTTAAAGCTTGTATCCCGCAGACTGCACCGTAAAGCGTTGAAACACGAGATCAGGGTTCTAGCCGAAGCAAAGCTGAACACGCAAGTGAGCATATTTCCACGGCACTCACTGACAGAAAGAGCTCAGAGGAGGAATTTCGTTCAATCCTCTCTGAACTCGATAAGTACCGTAAGATGAAACAAGAAATCCGGTCCAAGTCTCATAAGTCTGCTATCAGCGAAGACGAGAAAAAAAAGGACATAGAACAGGGGGTACGAAAAGCCCAGCAAGCCTTTATTACGAACACCAAAGAGATCATAGGCGATTCACATTAAACTGTTTCCTCGAGATCAACACGACATAGTGTCACATGATCAGGAAAGTGCTAGTACACGGTCATAGCGACACTATTGTGTCACGTGGGCCCGGGAAGTTAACTGGGATTCAAATATAGTCTATACAATGGGGGCGAGATCTAAGGGCCTGACAAAAGCTTTATTTGTGAAATAAAGCTTTACAGAGGCTTTTGTTGGACTTGATCTCGGACAATCATTGTATATACTACTGTCTCACCAACTAATATTAATTACTAGAAGTTTTGTTAATACAAGGCTCTAGATTAACTCCATATTTGTTTGAAATATGCAAAAAATTGTGGTGGTGTATGGTCCTGTGTGTAGTTTGTTCAAACCTGCCTCTGTTCACCCAGCAGAAGACCACCTCCGTGGTGTAGTGGTTGGAGTGTCCGCCCGGAGTGCGGAAGGTCGCGGGTTAGATCCCCGACTGCGTCACACCAAAGACGTTAAAATATGGTACTTGTTGGTCCCTGCCTGGAGCTCAGCATTAATGGGTACATCAAGGACTGGTCGGCTCGGAGTCAGTATAATGTGTCTGAGTGGGGTATTCATGCTTCACTGCGGCATGGTATCACAGTGGGCTAGCACTATAAAACCAGCTTCAGTCTGGGCTAGTACAAGCAGCCACATGCACGTCGTCATATGAGCGAAATATTCTCAAGCACGATGTTAAACCCAATTCCACCAACACCCAGTAGAAAATGGGTAACTGGTGGGATAAGTCATATGACGATTCAAATTTGTTAAATTGTATGACAGACCAGAAATCCATGAATGCCTACTTATATTTTTGCTCACCTACCAAGGTGGTATTTATCACAAATTTATTAATTTATTTATTTAAGCAAGTAATTGTGAGCTTTTTTTCACAAGAATTGGTAAACAAACACTAGGAACTAGTTAGCTTCAGTAACTTTATACAGTCCAACTGGCATTACTCAGACAATCTAGACAGAAGGTTCAAACAACCCCCAAAACATTTGAAAACATTCGTACCACTTGAAAAACGGTGTGAATCACGTGCAGCATGCACTAAGGCTTGAATCAGTTTAATTTATCACTGAACTTGACAGATTTTGTCATGCTTCAATAGAAAGCAGTAATGCTGTCAGTGGTTGTGCCAAATCAGGGTACAAAAAACAAACAAACTACAATTGCTCATAAAATCCATTATTACTAGTTAATATCCATATCTGACCAATCCTCCTTTGAGTGAGTGAGTGAGTTGGGGTTTTATGCCACTTGTAGCAATATTCCAGCACTATCACAGCAGGGGACACCAGAAATGGGCTTCACACATTGTACCCATGTGAGGAATCGAATGCTTTAACCCCTTGACTACCATCCGCCCCTCTCTTTGACACATTATCTGAATTAAGCCTGGCACCATCAAACAATATCAGGAAGATACATCAAAGGAAGAAGGTATTGCAAAATAGTGTTTAACTCAATAAACTACATAAAACCTGTCACATTAAACCCATGTAACACATGAGAAAATAATTCTGTCCTGATTCTAAACAGTCAATGAAAGAATAACATCTCTGATGTTCTGAAAATATTTTAATGGGTAATTATCATTATATTGTCACAAGTGGCAATTCAGCATGAAGACAATCTCAGAATGATTTGTCAGCAAAGGTGAGAGGCAGGTTCCATAACTTCCACTTAAAACCCAGAAGTGATGACACAGCCTTTTCAAGCTGGGCTTCATTCTGCCCACTTTCTTTAAGCCACTGTACAAAGTCAGGTGTCATTGTGCCCTCCGCACTTTTCCAATCAAATTCATAAGATACATCGTCTTTTATCACTCGCAGTTCTTTGAACTTCCTTGCATGCGCTAATAATAATACTGTTGTGCTAGACAGGGGCACATCAAAATGTATACTTTGGAGCTTTAAACACTTTTTAGCAAAGCTTACCAAAGCAAACGGAAGTCTTGTATCTGAAGTCTGAGTCTTTTCATGTAGGAGATTTGTGTACTTGAAAACTTCCAGTGTGTTCCAGTAATTGTTTGTGAAATGGTCCATCATTCCCTTTGTTAGACTGTTGGATATATCATTCAGTGATAGCTGTTTGAGTGGGATTCGGGATGGAAACATGGTTTTCACAAGGATGATGCCATCAAATGTGATGTTCACTTTCATGTCGGGTTTCAGTTTTAGAATCCTTTCCCAATCATTATCATTAGGCTGACAGATATCAAGATCAAAAATTTCTTTTTCTTGGAAAATGTTTAGTTGGACCAAACTCTGCTTGGCTAAACCAAGAACAAGGGTTGCGTCAACATTGCATTTCTGTAAACTTAGTTCTCTCAGGTTAGGAAAATTAAGCAAACATGACATTTGTCTTTCACTCATTGTCCAACTGATACTGGACAAATCTAAGGCTGTGACAAAGCTTGTCACACCCAGATTAATCAGCTGTAGCAACAAGAAGGGTTTGGGCTGAATCTCAGTCTCACATGGAAGAAACAGACTCACATTCTTCAAATCCTTACATGTAGTTAGTATGGTCAGCGCTTCTTCCATGTCCCGGTTTGAAGTTGAATGTTGTCCATGACAAAAGCCATCACTACCTTGTTCCATGTGAAAACCACGCAGATGGCGACAATTTTCACTAACAAGTTTAAACATATTTGCATGTTCATTTGTAACAGAGTCAGTCTCCATGGAAGTCACAGAACGAAAAGTTCTGAAGAAAATACCATATTCTTTCACACAGTTTTCTGCAGCTGTAATGTAATCAGACTTGGTGACAGCACTAGGTGAAAACTTAAAAAAGGGCCATGAAGCAGAGGTTCTAAGGTGATTCTCAAAAGAAGGAATGGCGTTTGTTACAGTAAGTTTATCTTCCCATTCAAGGTATGAAAGTACCTTCACAAGTACAACATCTGGTAGGTCTGTGACATGCATTGTGTGCAAACTAACAGATTCGTCTCAAGAATGTAAGTTGTCTCTAAAACAAAAACATCCAAATGAATTAGGCAGTAATGACGAGATTCCAGCTGAAACAATGCGTAGATCTCGTTGCAGAAATTCACAAAACTGCTCTTCGGTTACGTCCATCCCATAACGGCTCCTTTGCATTCATTCCATATCAAATATAACGAGACAGCCATTCAAAAAACGACGCAATAGTTGTTCAAGAAAAGGTCTATAACAACTTCCATGGAAAAGTTACATTCCGGAAGTAGACACATCACGACAACCATGTTCGGAAAATATTCCGCTTAATAACATAAACCGGTATTCTACCGTAGGTAAATTTTATACTTGCTTTATTGTTCGGATATCTTTATGCGGTTTTTCAGTCCTAGTTCCACTACACTGATATAAAAAGAAAATAAATGTAAAAACGAAAATAATGGTGAACATGGGGCGCATTTTATTGAAGCCTCCTTAGGACTGACAGAGTTGCGTCCCTTTCCATTCCGCACTTACGGTCGAAATGGCACCATGGTGCATCAGATGTCAAACAGATTCGACGATTAACCCTTATACCACACTCACTTGATATGGAAACGCCCATCATCTGACACTGACTAGTTCTGATAGTTGCATTCAAAATAGTAAATTTAAAAAAACATGATATTAGGATAAATGCTGTCTGAGGTGTCTGGTAGATGTTCTGTTTTTCTGACAATTGGTAGTCTCGATCACGTACTTGTATAACATTCCAAAAATTGTTTACGTTACATTTGACCACTTTTTAAAGGTCATCGATAATGTGGGTTGGAATCCAGGATGTTACCCAACCCCAAAGGTACTAGGAACTGTACTTTATTATAAGAATGTGTTATCCCCAAAATATAACATTTATCAAGAACATTTCATCACTTTTCATAGCATTTTGCCATGGGTGATGTGCCAATTTACGCTTGTCAGACGGGTACACAAAGTAGGCTACGTAATTTAGACTACCAGTTGTGGAAGTCTCGGTGGCTCAGTGGTGAGATCGCTGCTAGCGATATGGTGCCTCTCAATAATGAGGGAGTGTGTTCGAATCCCGGATGGGACTCCGCTCAAAAGGTGTTTGAATTCGTCGCATCACAATAGAATAAAGAAGTTGTCGCCCCCAAAGTAGGTTATCTATACTGTTACGTATCATGGAAGGTGAGAATGTAAGGATGTCAACTTCTTTATTTGAGGAACACGACGTTTTGGCGTATATCATTACTCCTTTAAATCGGGTGTCATTTCTAAATGCCGTTCAAAGAGTTTGTTACTTATCAATTTTTAAAATGCATATGAAATGGTACATGGGTACCAAATGCCCTATGCGATCCCATGCATCACACCCAACACAGTTACAGGGGTGAGTTGAGTGCTGACTGGGCAACCATCAGGTTGTGTATCCAAACCAAACGTTGAAACCTCCTGTTTTATCCTGAGCCATATCTGCGGTTGTCTCAAAAGAATTTTGGCTTTATTATGAACAATGTTTGCATATCGAAAAGTAAATACATTTGAAAATTCCAAAAGGATCCCAGTCGCAGAAATATCCAACCAAATGTTAGTCTCATTAAGATCTCTGAGTGAACATATAGGCCTACATATGATACAACATTACATTTCTGTAGATATGCTACTCATCCTAACGTTTCTAGAAACGTGACATCAACAACTGACGCCAACAACTCATCTAAGGGCCTATTCGATTATGCTAAACCGGTTTTGGTTTCTGGAAAACCATGCATGTGCACTCGATTATCTCGAAACCTAAAACTGGGTTCTGAAACTTCGAAACCATCTCCGAGGCAGGTTTCGCAGTTTCGGTTTCGCGTTCCCTCACAACAAACATGGCGGAAACGAAGTTCAGCTGATCTTGGTGGCAAAATAGAGCAGCAGTTTCTGTAACCAAAACAATGCTAAAAATCAACTGAAAACTAGGAAAAAAATATTTAAAACCCCAGTCTATTGAACATGACTATTTTATAATTGCTTGTTACAGTATAATTACATATACGCAAATATTTACCTCCAAAAGCATCTCATCTCTTTATTATTTGTTCATTCCCTGATGAAATGACAAACAATATTACCTTCGGCAATGCTGTCATCCAATTCCTTCCACATATATAGTAGCTGAGACATTTTTTTGTATCCATTTTGAAACCGGATGGTGAAACCATCCACTCGTTTATAAAACTAGAAACTAGTTTCACTTTGAAACCATGTATCCGAAACTGGTCGCTCGTTTATAACAAGAGAAACCAGTTTCGGAAACCAAAACCAGTTTCGCAATAATCGAACAGGCCCTTAGTATAACTTTGTTTTATGTTTGTTTTCTATTATTGAAAGTAAATTTTTCAACTCGAAGTGGTATAAAACTAAGCCAGATCTGTTGGCTAAGAACCCACATGCGCCCCTTTCCCCATTTCTATAGAGGTGTTCTCATATCTTAATGCGCAGATATTGTCTGTACCTCGAAAACACATTTATTCAGCGATTATCTAATGAACGATGATGTTTCGACGTCATTAGCTAGTGAGGTATTTGGGTTTAGGAGATTTTAGGAAAAGATTTCCGCCCGTAACCTCCGTTTTGTATCATTCTATGCCTGAGAACAGATGTTCTTTTATGAAAAACACCCCCTTAACACTAACCTTAGACTAACAACTAGTCTCTGAAATGAACATATTTTACTGAAAAAAGTTCATAGTAAAAAAATATAAAATATAATGAAAAGGAGCCCTGAGACCTTCTTCATTTTCAGAGGAAATCTAGACTTGCCACATTTTCTAGACTTGTGTGGGCTTTCTTGGATATATTTGCTTCAGGGTCTGTACGAGAGACTACACTAACCCTAAACCAAACTATAAAACCTCGAAATGATCCTAATGGATAGAATACATTTCAAGCGGGGGTTACGCGGAACTCTTACCCAGTTGAGGTCATTTGGTTTTATTGAAAGCAATATTCCTAACGCAGTGTGTTTTCATGTGTGTGTGTGCTCCAATACGTTTCATAAAGGGGCACATTTGAAAGTGCCTGGAGTAATTCGTATGTACCCTGGGCACTGATCAAATGCGCCCCGTGAACTATTTTCATGGTTAACGCACCGGTATTGTATCCTTACACTCATACACAACCAAGATGGGGGCTGGCGAGTATCCACCTGAGTACAATCCAAGAGTACATGGGCCTTACGTACCTGGTCGTTTCTACGGGAAAAGTATGTTTGATCCATTTTTCATTGTTTGTGCACTCTGTATTGCCCTTAAATATGATCTTCTTGAGACTCTTGATGAAATTCGGTGCAGCACATGCAAGGTCATGCCGGTCGTCTTGTTTTGTGCCATCCAACGTACTAGTTAGTTGCTGCATAGATGAAACTATTTGAGATTACCAGCTGATTATCTCGTATAAATTAGTTATGTATTAACGTATAATTTCTGAGCACACATGAGTTTATAAAATATAACTGAACCCCAATATTTATGTGACAACGACTCATTTACTTTGAATGACATGTCGCCTGAGGTGAGGTGAAATTGTGTCGTGCTTGAGAATATTTCGCTCATATGACGACGTGCATGCGTGTGTATGTACGGCTGCTTGTACTAGCCCAGACTGAAGCTGGTTTTATAGTGCTAGCCCACTGAGATACCATGCCGCAGTGAAGCATGAATTTAACACTACACCACGGAGGCGGTACAGTCCGTTTGAGACAAAATGATACCGATGAATTGCAATCTAACACAAACACAAATAGACATAAAAGAATCAAACCAACGCGGACTGCAATAAAAACAACTGACCAACTCTAGAAAAAAATTGCATATTTTTTGTCACAAAAATAAAAAAGTTGTTTAAGAAACTGTCATTTATTTGTGCGTTTTCCAAGTTTGTTACAAGGGCGCAGTGGCAACTAAAGGAACAGCGCGAAAAGCGAGGTGCACGTGCATTAGTGACGTCAGACACATGTGATTACTGCTGATTGACAATGTGAGATTGAGAAATGAAAGTCTATAATTTACAAAGTCTATGATTTTTTCAAGGCTGAAAATGACAGGGGGGTGACCCAAGTATGCAATTACTAAGTACATACAGCGCACTGCCTGTGCTGCTGGGGTACGTGTCATCTCGCCTGCTCAAAAGTTTGTTGAGAACCCGTTAACGCACGTGCATCTCGCTTTTCGCTGTTCCTTTAGTGCCCTTTAACAAACTTTGCCAATGACAGTTTCTTAAACAACTTTTTATTTTTAGTAACATTTTTTTCTAGAGTTGGTCTGTTGTTTTATTGCAGAAAACGCATTGCAAATAAATGATGACAGTTTCTTAAACAACTGTTTTTATTTTTAGTCATCGGTTATGGAAATTATGAATGATGTGTGACATCTAAGTTGGTCTGTTGTTCCAATTGCAGTTGTTGGTTGGTTTGATTCTGCCGGATGTCACATTTGATTTTGTGTTAGTTGATTGCAAATTAAAATCGCTTATCATAATGTTCAGGAAGACGCAATAGATCCTTGTATGGTGAGTTTTCAAAAACATGTAATCCAGTGGTAAATGTAGAGATAAGCAATGTACACAGAATAGTATCCATTTTTGCTCTTATAGGACAGTAGCAAAAACTGTAGAAAAGTTCCTGCTACCATTTTCATACATGGTGAAAATTGCCCAGAAATACTGAAATATCTAATTAACGTGAACACGTGTTGAGGATTGCATGATAAGGCTGTGTGTGTCTTGGCTGATTGTTTATCCAGGCACAAGGGTATCCTGAACTCACAGTTGCTGATGTTTTCATTTATGTATGAAATATGCTCACTGTGGTAAAAAACAACAAATTCTAGTCATTAGTTGTTCATGATGTGAAATATTGTTGATGTAACATTACGGTTTTCACGACCCTAACATTCATGATGCCAAGGAGTCTTTCATGTAGTTTGAAATGTTGTGAGTAATACTCTCTTGTGACATTACTGTGCTAATTTGTTGTATAGAGCTTTCAGTTTCCTATCAATGACAGGCCTAGAAAACAGTTTCCTGCAATGTTGGTAATGTTTATGTGTAAAATGGACAGCAATAAAGATGAAATTTCAGATTAACATGCAGATGACGTATCATTAATCGCTTTGCTTTAAATGGGCATTGTGACAAATCTTAGTTTCCACAGCACAGGAACTGTTTTTGCCACACAAGATTCACATGTAATTTGAGGGTAAAAGCATGTAGAAAAACTACCTTATAGCCCAG